AGCCTATAAGACATCTGTCATGCATTATTTTCATTTAGTTTAAATTATTTAGATGATTTATTGTTATTAATATGTTTTTTAAATCAATTTATTATTGTAATTAATTCATGGATAACACACTACTCAATATAAGAATACTTCTTTATTATTTGGCATAATGAAGAAGTCCATTTGACAAGGAAAAACTGTAGATTAAGCTAGCAGGATAAGGTGAATGGTTAATTCCTTAAGAAATAAATAACGATTTATGTGTCAGTGTAGCAACGTCTTTTTTTTTTTTTATTAAAGAAGAATGATTGAACAAACAAAAATATTAACAAGTAAATCCAGATACACAAAATATAAGAGCAATCTTAAACTGTAGAACAGTGTTTAAGAGAAAAAAAATAAATAAAATAAACAAATAACCACATTGTAAAAACAAAATAAAACACAAAATAAATAAAAAAAAAGAATAAAAAAAACATAAACAACTAAACAATAGTTCAAATTTTCTTCCTTTTTCCTTAGGACATATTCACAGATTGCAGTGGGGGAGCTGTATCAGAAAAAAAATTATCCATGAAATCTAACAATATGTCATTCTTTTTGTTATTAATTTGCATTAGAGACTTTTTCAAAGCTTCCATTTCTGATAAAAATAGATTACAATTTGGTATGCATTTAGCAAATTTCTGTTTATGAATATAATATTTACCTTGCAAAATGTAAAAGTTAATGACATAATCCTTTTACGTTTGTGTGAATAAGTACAAATAACATCTTTTAAAGATAACACATAATTAACATTTCTTCGCAGAAATAGAAAGGCACTAACATCAGACCAAAATCTAAGAGACAAATCACAATTATAAAACAAATGACACAAGTCTTCCTCATGTGTGTTACAAAAACTGCAATTATTGTCAATGTCCATGAATTTAGAAATAGCTACTTTACATGGGTACATTTTGTGAAGTATTTTGAAATGCACCTCTTTAACTTTATTCAAAATACAAAATTTGTAAGGATTTGACCAGGTCGTTTTCCAATTAATATCAGAAATGTTTGCATTCCAAAAGAACTTTCCTCTAGGGGAGATTTTATGATTTGATTGCAAAATTTGTCTAATATTTTTATTATTACAAGAGGAAGAAAATATTTCAATACCATTCATTTTTAATTCTGGAAATATCCCTTCATTGCTACCAAAAGAGAGGTGATTATTTATTAGTTGTATCAAACCATTTGGAATAGCTTTAACCACTTGTTGAAAGGGGATGGGAAAGTTGTAAACATGCATAAAGTCTTCATAAGACAGAATGTTTCCTCTCTCATAGAACATATCTATAACAAAATATGTATTCCTTTCAAACCACCTATGCAAATATAACGATTTATTCCTAGAAGTAATGATCTATAACAAAATATATATTCCTTTCAAACCACCTATGCAAATATAACGATTTATTCCTAGAAGTAATGAGACAATTGTTCCATAAAAGCATTTTATGTGGAGAAAAGTTGTGATGGAAACAAATTTTCCAAGCCAGTAATACCTGCTGGTGAAATTTAGATAATTTAATAGGTAACATTCCTGGAAGAAAGTTACATTTCAGAAGAAAAGATAACCCTCCAAGTTTTTGAAAGATACGTTGTGGGATAAAGAACCACATAGAATTATCCTTTTTTAGACAATTTCTTAACCAATTAAGTTTAAAAGTATTGTTAATGTCAAAAAAATCTATCATCTCTAAGCCACCTTCTACTCTTTTGCCTGATATAATGTCCTTTTTTAACTGGTAAGGTTTATTTTTCCATATAAAATCTAAGAAGGATTTATTGATATCTTTGGAAATTTAATCACTAACATACATGGAAAGAGCAGGGTAAACAAATCTAGAAAGGCCTTCAGCTTTGGACAGTAATACTCTCACAAAAATGGTAAGATCCCTTTTGTAGCCAATTATTCAAGATATGTTTAGTTTTCTTGATTTATGACATAAAATTCAATTGTTCTCATGTAGTTTTATTTTATTTTTTTAGAAATATAGATTCCCAGACATTTAACAGAGTCTTTTACTGGTATATTTTCAATAGAGAAGTAATTGTGTATGTATAAAATTTCACATTTATGAAGATTAAGCTTTAGACCAGAAGATTTCGTGAATTTGGTAATACAATCCAGGGCTGTTTTCACTTGATTTTTATCTTTCAAAAATAATGCAGTGTCATCTGCCAATTGAGAAATTTTGACTTCTCTATCAAATATGTTTAATCCCAAAATGCTTTGATTGTTTAAAATTGGAATAGAGAGAAGTTCAGCAACTAACAAAAACAGAAAGGGGGACATCGGACAACCTTGGTGTACACCACGATGGATTCCAAATCTTTTAGAGGTTCCTGTATTCAGAATAACAGAACTATTAATATCCTTGTAAAACATTTCTATAATATCAATGAAATTATTCCCAAACCCAAAAAGTTTCAGAGAGTGAAGTAAGAAGCCATGCATATTCAATTGTATCGAAGGCTTTACAAAAATCTAAAAACAAAATAAGAGCCCCTGACTCTATCAGGTCAGAATAGACTAAAAGGTCAAAAATAAGACGAATATTATTACTAATATGTCTATTTTTCATAAAGCCTGTTTGAGATTCATCAATAATTTGATCTAGTCCTGATTTTAATCTTCTAGCATATACTAATGCAATCAATTTGTAATCTGTATTCAAGAGCGTGATAGGTCTCCAGTTATCAATATCCAAGTGATCCGTATCTGGTTTAGGGATCAGGGAGATTAAGCCTTGTTTCATAGTTGTCGCCAATTCCTTCTTTTTTGGGGTGCCTCCAGGACCAGGGTTGGGAACCACTGGTCTAAAAGGTCAAAAATAAGACGAATATTGTTACTAATATGTCTATTTTTCATAAAGCCTGTTTGAGATTCATTCATAATTTGATCTAGTCCTGATTTTAATCTTCTAGCATATACTAATGCAATCAATTTGTAATCTGTATTCAAGAGAGTGATAGGTCTCGTTATCAATATCCAAACGATCCTTATCTGGCTTAGGGATCAGGGAGATTAAGCCTTGTTTCATAGTTGTCGCCAATTCCTTCTTTTTAATACAATCATTGAACATTAAGAAAAGTGGCTCTTCTAAAATATACCAGAAATGTTGGTAAAATTCAATCGAAAGTCCATCAGGTCCTGGACTTTTTTCATATGTCGAAGAGCTAACTGCAATTCTTCTCTTTTAAGATCAGAATCACAAAGATTTTTAAAGTCATTATTTATCAATGGAATAAAATGTTGAATATTATCAGTAAACGCTTTGCAGATATCATAATTAAAGTCAGGTTGATATAATTTTTCATAAAAAGACCTAACAAATTCTGAAATTAATTTAGGGTCCTCACATAAGGAGTTATTAATACACAATGCTGACAATGATTTTCTCTTAAAATTCCTTTTTTCAAGGGCAAAAAAAATATGCTGTGTTCCTCTCGCCCTTTTCTATCCACTTAGCTCTTGAGCGCACGAAAGCTCCATTAAACTTGTTAGTATACAAGTCATTAAGTTTTGCTTGTAAAGAATGGACAATGGAGCTCACTATCCTGTATTGGGGAGAGGTCAGTGTGGCAACGTGTTGGACGCAAGCTTGGTGGTATGGATTTTTTACTGAGATGTGATTTCGATATTAATAAGATTCCACTTGCACTGTCTAAATTTCATAGTCAAATACTACACTTTTGGAAAATGATATTCACACATAACTTTACTCCGAACAGTTCGACTCTGTGGAACAATAGAACAATACTTATAAACAGGAAATCATTATTTAAAGCTGAATGGTTTGACAAAAGGAATTCTCTTTGTAACGGACTTGATGGATTGTAAAGGTGTTCTACTGGATCACACCAGCTTTGTTGTACGTTCTAATATAAACTGTACTCATAGAGAGTATCAAAAAATTTGTAAAGCTATTCCTGTAGCCTTGATCCACCTAATCCAGAATACTTTGACTTACTCTGATGTCACTCCAGTATTGCCGAATTTATCAATTGGTCATCATAAATTAGTTGATAAAAACTTCAATAATAGGGTTGCTACGGATGCTTTTAAATCTAAATTGTTCCATGATTATAATAAAATGTGCCTGTAAACCATTCTGATATGCTGTGTAAAGCCTTCTCTAAATATGTAAAATGGCCAATTCCGCCTAAAGTCAAAGAAACGCATTTCAAAATTTGTCATAAGATCTATCCAGTTTCCAATTTTCTTCATAAGCGATTTAAATTTGACAAGGCGGGTTGTGCTTTTTGTGATTTTACTGATGAATCTCTAGAACACTTATTTTTTTACATGCTCCATTTCATGCCAGTTCTGGAGTGATGTTAGAGACTGGCTGAATCTAAAAATGTCAAACATCCCTGTATTTAACATCAACCATATCCTGTTTTATGTTGATGATTTAGATAATTCAATATCAGACGTTGTGAATATTGTTTTCCTACTTGCCAAATACATTTTTGTACGTGGAGAGACTCTCGCCCCTGCTTTGTTCATTTCATGAACGAATTTAAACTATTCTACTCCTCACTGAGATTACTTAAAAATTGTCGTGCCCCGAAAATATCATCGGACATGTCCAAGTTGTTTTTTTGTTGTTGTTTTTTTTGCCTTACATGTATTGTGGATCCCCTTCAGGTTTGATGCTGATTGTTATTGTATTTGATTTTATTCTATGCTGTTACCTCTATGAGTTCTTGTATTCTATGTTTAATAAAAATAAAAATAAAATAAAAAACGTGTTGGACGCAAGTGTGAGGTCCTGACATCATTTGCGCGCGTTCAGATGACGTACGTGTGTTTCAACAGCTGATTGAAAGAGGTCGCAGTTCACCAAATAGCTCGCAACATTCACTCCACACTCCAGATCAGTAGGTGGCGGTAATGCACCTTTAAGTTGGTTTGCCAAAACCGCCAATAAACATCAGAAGAAGAAGAAGAAGAAGAAGCAGCTCGCTACATTAATCTTCTAAAAATATATATTTCGGCTTTTGGTTTGATTTATATCCAGTTCTGTAGCAAGATATTTTCGGAATGACGTACTTCGGTGAGTGTCGATGGTTATTGGCCTCTTTTAGTAAGGACTGGAGATAAAATCTTGTTTTTGCTAAGTAAGTGCTGTGGCATTTGTGTGTATCTGCTTTGTTTCGATTCCTGAGTCAGGCTGCTTAGCTGCTGATATTGCCGATAACGATAGAAACAAACCGGGTAACTTATTTCACGTAAAAACAGTGTGTGCGGTTATTTCTGTTTCGTTTTTTATTGTGTCGTGCTACTAAATACTTTGTTTAATTCTTTGATGCTCTTTGTGTTAGTCAAGCTAGCTAGCAGAGTAGTTAGCAGGTAGCTTTATCTCAATGACAGCTTTAGAGAACACACTTCTGTTCTCACATTTAACAAACAACAACATAAGTTGTTGATTCTTTCTAGAATGTTCTGTCTAGGGGAGTAACACACAATAAATACACATTTGTCAGGGTTGATTTTTTGTAGAAAAACATTGTTTACGTTAGCAGTTGGAATTTTCTCTCATACTAGCAGCGTTGTTATTTTTCGGAGTGCTTAAGACATACTACTTTGTATTTAACTAATTTAAACATCCTTTACATCTTTAGGTCAGTGTTATATTCAGGGCTCGCAAAATTTCAAAATCCCTGGTAGCACTTCGGGCAGGTACTCTTTCAGACTTTGGTAGCCCGAAAATGAATTAAAAAAAAATATATATATATATATTATATATAGAAAATCAGATAGGAGTTTAAATGTCAATCAAAAATATTTTCAATACACAAATATCAACAAATATGAAGGAAGGAATTTTATTTCACCATTTACAGGGTATCTGCAGAATTTTTACAAGGCAATTTATGATCCATTTTAAGAGCTGCACAAGTAAAATGAACACGGTATGAGTGGGGTTGGACAATGTCTATGGTAACATACAGTGCTGAGCCATAAAATTACATGATTTACAGTTCAGACACAGGTTTTCACAAAAACAAAAATCATATACAACAGCATTTCAGCCTTTAGACCATGTTTATGAAAAGGGGTAAATCAAGGTTATAAATGTTTGTTAATTTAAAACGCATAAATATTACTGTCTTAATTGTTTAGATTTTTAGAAGGCACATTATCTTCTTTCTCATTTACAACTCCATGTGTTTGCTGCGTAAAAACACGAGTTGATATTTGCATTGATCGGAGTCTGACTATAAACGGCAAGAAAGGCTTATTGGAAATGCAAATTCATTCTCTGCCACGCGATGTCGCTTTAGGATCGCCGAAATAATGCGGTTTCCCGGTAACGGCTGTACACAAAGCAGCTCCGCGCTCATAAACGCTGCTTTATCAGGAATTATAGGTCAAATGAAATTAAAATGCCAACGACACGTTTATGAGGACAGTCGGTTCCCTTCAGATACATTCAAATAAAGACATCCGCCCCGCATTTTGACTTGAAACCTGCATATTTATTCAATGACATCATTGCCTTCTGAAGTTTAATCCAGCCATATCGCCACTCTTGTCTTTCCGTCCCCAACTTGAAATTATAATTAAGACATTTCTTATACCATTTAACGTATTTAAAACTTTTTATGGCCTTAAGTTTAATACAACTCACTTTAGGAGTTTTTTAAGGACCCGGCGGGAGATCTGCATTTAAGATACATTTTGGTAGCCCGACTGGAAAACACAATAGCCCCGGGATGTCAGGCTAGCAATTTTGCGAGCCCTGATATTAATGGCAAGAATTGGCAGCATTAAAAACATAAAGACAGTAACCAAATATTCTGAGAGGGGTTGTACATCTATTGGGTCTCCACAGGGCCGTGCACTGTCATCAATTCTTTTTTTACCTTTATACAAATGAGTGTCAAAAGTTATGAGGATAATTATGTTGTTAAATATGCGGATGATACAGTTTCCCTTTCCTATCAAGCTCAAAGGGTGACGATAGTCATGCACTTACTAAGTTTATTACATGCTGCAATGAGGCAGAGTTGAGACTAAATATAACGAAAACAAAAGAGATGGTGATTGATTTCAGAAAAAAAAAAAACGCTCCAAAGGTGCAACCAGTGCTTATTAAGGACAAAGAGGTTGATAAGAGTAGAGGAGTATAAATACTTTGAAACCATTTTTGATACAACCTTAAAGTTTCAGCAAAATACAGAGGCTATTATCAAGAGGGTTCACCAAAGAATGTTTGCCCTGAGGAAACTGAACTCTTTCTGTGCACAAAAATCTATATTGAGTGCATTTAATAATACTTTTATTGAGAGCGGCTTGAGTTTTCATTCCTATGCAGGTTTCCATCTAAAGAATAAAAATAGCCTCCAAACTATAGTTAGGGCTTGCTCAGAAATTACTGGTATGCCACTGCGAAGCCTAACTGAATTTCATGAGCAGCAACTGATAAGGAAAGCTTGGAGTATCATGCACATGCACTTGTATTAAGTGTTTGACCAACCGATATAAGTTTACCTTTGTACCAGAAGCCATTCGTATTTGTAATTTGAATTTCATTAAGGACTCTTAATATGTCTGTCTGTGTCATTTATAAATTTCATAAGTGGTTGAATTGACTATGAAGCATGTTGTATTGATGTAATTTGTAATTATGTGAAAGTGTCTGTATTAGGCTAATGTGTCTTCCGTGATTTAATTCTTGTTTTTATGTTTATTTGGGAAAAAGTCGGTGATGTGCTGCCCATGCCCTACTGAATTTTCCCCTGTGGGATTAATAAAGTAAACATTAATTAATAAACCAAACTAACTAAACTAAACTAATAATGAAATTATCTTATCTTATTATATATATATAAATCATCTTTTTTGAGAATAAAAAGATTGTATATTACTCAAAGAATACATATAAATGTGCATTTCTTCACAGAAAATTAAATAAATAATTATAAACTTAGTATGAAAAGGGTCTGTTTTCGAAGAGTCACATATTTGTCAGGACGCCTGTGACTTGAAGCAAGGTCATGATTATTAAAATTATTCTTTTAATTGTGTTGAATTTATTTTAATTTTTTTAAGTATTATTTAATCAGTTTACGGTATTAATTGATTAATGAATATAATATACTATTCAATATAAGAATACTTCATTATTTGGAATATTAAAAAAACATTTGAAAAGGAAGTTTGGAGCTAAATTACTTTTTACATAATACTTTGCAATAAACACAATAGTTAGTGGGTAATTGTTTCTTTAAAGTGATGACAATAGGAGAAACTGGGTGAAATACTCTCATTAACTTTCATTTTAACATAAGTTAGTTCATTTTTCAATTTAGTTCAGTGTATTTTAGTTTAATTAATTTAGTTTTTGTTGAGCAGAGGCAGTTTTTTTTTTTTTTTTCGAAAAGATATCCACACATGAAGTATGGCCATACATGACTAATACTTTGACACAATCAGGAATTGCACCAGAAATAATATCATTCTCTCTCATCTACAGTTACAGCTCCATTGGCTTAGCTCACCTTTCCTGTGGTGCAATACAGTCCAGCCATGGATAAGATTTTGGAAGCGCTGGTCAGCTCCTCCCATCCTCTGACTGTCAAACGGGCTATTGTGAAAAAAGTCATGGAGGCTGCAGAAAAGGAAGTGACCGAGGAGCAGTGCCAGGCCTTGTATCATCTCACCACCCGCCTTATTCTCCTGGGCGAGGATGCTTTTCAGCGACAGGTTGGCCTCCAAGTGCAAGAAGCGTACGCACGTTACCATCGCGATGAGTTTGCCTGCTTCTTCAGCAAGGAATACGTACTTGGTCTCCTACAGCAGGGCTATGGCTCTTTGGACCGCAGAGACCCTGCCATCTTGGACTTTCTACACGGTTCCCTCCGACTGCTCATCAGCTGCCCGGCTGTGTTGGAGCTGGCACCATTGCTTCAGACGGAAGTCCTACGCATCATCTGTGAACGGCCAGAACCAGCAACTTGTGCCAAGCTGGCCACCATACTGACGGACTTCCCTCAGTGCGTCCCTCGAGAGAAGGCTGGAGTTCTTTTCTGTCAGCAGCTTGTGCGCACCTTTGTGTATTTCCACTGTCCTGCCACTGAAGAGCGGGAGTTGCGGGAGTATGTGACTCGGGTGACCAGGGTGAGTGTGCTGCTGCAGGGCATCTGGAAGGCTGAGCCGGCCACGCTGCTACCGTCACTGCAGGAGGTGTTTGCCATCATCTCATCCACAGGTCAGTAAGCAGTGATTCCTCTTGTGATGATATTTTAAATCAAGGGAATTAATTCAATGAAAATTCTCTTGTTTACTCACCCTCATGTCGTTCCAACCCTGTATGTCTTTCTTCAGTGGAAAGTAAAAGGGGAAAAATTGGTTGATCTTTTACACACAATTAGAATGAATGTGAATGAAGCTTTAAAAAAAATGCAGAAGCACCATGAAATATCATAAAAAGTGCCCGTAGTAGACATATAGACATGAGAATGAGTAAATGATCACCAATTTTAACGCAACTAATCCAGAAACAGCATTGTTAAAATTAGGGCTGCACGATAAATCGCATGCGATATTTAATGCGCATCTTGTCAGTAAAGACGGTTCTGTAATCAGCGGTAAATCTCCATCACCTGCGTGCTTTCACATTGAGCAGCGCATTAAATATCGCATGCGATTTATCGTGCAGCCCTAGTTAAAATATAGTCAAGATGTGTCAAGCTAAAGTGTACTTGCTTTTTTTTCATCTATATCAGGGTTTTCTTTTTATTATGAAAATAAATTAGTAATTTTAAAATAAAAACAGAATCAGAATAATTCACATAAATTATGAAAATCTGATGAAATATTGTATTTGTTTACCTGCCTGTCATGTGACCTTTAAGCAGCATCAGAGAACCATGAACATGTGAATGTCTTGTTAAATTATTGATTATCTTAAATCTCTGAGGTTACTTTAAGTAAATATTTAGGGTAGCCTAAATACTTTAAGGGGTTCGGCTGACAAAAAAGTTTGTAAATCCCTGATATAATGGGTTGGTATAGACATCAGTCAAACCAATAGGTAGGCCTAATCTTCTTACCTTAATCAAGAAATGTGAGTCTAAATATGATAGGATGATAGGCTTTATGCAGCACATGAAAGCATCTTGCATCTTGCCCTGCAAAACACTATAATTACTAAAATATATTATTGTTAGGCCTATATATGTGTTAATGTTATGATATTATAATGATTATTATAAAATATTAAAATATATTATTTTTTACTATACTTTATATATTTTACTTATACTTTTTATAATTTTTGTTTTTATATTTTATATATATATTTAATATTATAAAATGCCTCCTAGACATATACTATTTTAATATGCATGTGTTTTGTATTCTGAATGTTCTGAGGAACCTCTAAAGGAATATAATAATAATAATAATTAAAAGTTTAATATTATGCTAATTAGACTACATGTGTAAGTGGGAATTGGCAAGTATCCGCAATGTGTTTGTTTTCATTTCAGACCCTTCATTTGAACCCTCCATTGCTCTAGCATGCCTGGTCCAGCACATCCCTCTGCAAATGATCACAGTCCTCATCAAAAGCCTCACCACTGACCAGAATGTTAAAGATGCCAGTATGACACAAGCACTCTGCAAAGAGTGTAGTGTTCATCATGGCTTAACAGATTTTAAATGAGTAGTAATTGTTTTGTTGTTGTTGTTTTTTTTCTAGGGCTGAATGTTGAGGTCAAAATGTTGGCAGTTTTCTTTTTTGTGGCACTGTTACTGTTATATAAGGCTTTTATTTTATATGTTGCCTGTCCTGACCCTGTTTTCTCTCTCCATCTTTTTCAGGATGATTGACTGGTTGTCCTGGCCTCTAGCCAATCATGTGGACACTTGGGTCATTGCTTTATTAAAGGGACTTGCTGCTGTTCAAAAGTTCACCATCCTCATAGATGTTACACTGCTCAAAATTGAACAGGTTTGTGTGTATGTACTCATAATAGAGCACATGTTTAGAGAATTACAAGCAACACCAGCATAAGAGTTCTGATTTGTGGAAGGTATTGAGAAGTAGAATGGATCAAAATTTAGTTGGTTATTTGAGTTTATCAACCATTTTTTTTCTTTGATACGTAAGAATTGGTTGGTGAGACCTGCCTGGCAGAGGCTTTTCTATGTGTTTATGTGTATGAATGTGGTTTTGTTTGTCTGTTTGCAGGTCTTTAATCGTCTTTGGTATCCTATTGTGAGACAGGGAGCACTGGTGGTTCTTTCACATATGCTGCTTAGTTTCCAGCACTCTCCTGAAGCCTTCCACTTAGTAAGGCCACTATGGACATTGCTTCTCTTTCTCCTTTTCAAAAAACCCTAGTTTTAAAACCCGTTGTGCCATTAGATCTTCCCATCAATAAGTGCTCAAAGCCTAATTAAGCCTTCATAGATTACTTTAATTATTTTTTTAAATAAATTAATTTTTTTTTCCCTTTTAATATTGAAATGAGTTAGAACATTCTAAAGATGTGTAGTGCTTTTAAGGACCTGTTGTTTTTAGTGTCTGATTTTAGCATTTTAATATCTGCTTTGTAATAATTTCAGTGTGATGTGAATTATTTTACCCCTGTCATTTATACTAGGTGGTTCCTCATATAGTCCCACTTGTAAAGTCTTTGAAGAACGATGGCCTTCCCAACAGCAAAACCTTCCTGCTGCAATTTGCAGAACTTGTCCACTGCATGATGTACCAGTATTCCGGCTTCCCAGACCTCTATGACAGCATTCTTGAATCCATTAAAGTAAGATATAGACAGGAAATCTCTGGTTTCTTCTCTTATGAACTAACTTAAATCACTGCTGAATTTATTTAGCATTTTGTCCTTGTATGTAACAACTAATTTTATACAGAATCGTTCAAATGTTTGGGGTCGGTAAGGTTAATGTTTTTGAAAGAAGTCTCATGCTCCTCAAGACTGCAATTGTTTGATGAAAAATACAGTAAAAACTCTAATATTGCAAAATATTACAATTTAAAATAACTGTTTTCTATTTTAACATATTGTCAAATGTAATTTTATTCCTGTGATGGCAGAGTTGAATTTTTAGCAGCCGTTACTCCAGTCTTCAGTGTCACATGATCCATCAGAAATCAATCAGTCTTAATTATGCTGATCTGATGCTCAAGAAACAGTCATGTTGTGCTTTGAGTTTTTGAAAGTTTAAAAGCACAGCACTTATTTAAAATATACATCTTTTGTAACACTATAAATGTGTTTACTGTCGCTGTTCAATTTAATGCATCCTTGCTGATCAAAAAAAAAAAAAAATCAGGCCTGCTTAAGATCACAGGAAAATCAGAAACAGGGAAGACGGGACTTGTGAATCTGGGCAACACCTGCTACATGAACAGCATCATCCAAATTTTATTTATGGCAACAGAGTAAGTTTTAAATCTACTGCATATTATCTGATCTCTTTCTCAACTGTTTAACTGTCTAACATTCTCCATATGCAAATACCATTACGTTTTTATACCATTTTAATGATTGCATGTAAGCACAATGTTAATAATACATGATACAAATTATCCTCAGGCATTTAAATGTTTAAAATATTTATAATGCTTTTTCAACTGCAAGATATTTCTCAGCTCTAACGGTCTCTTTTTAAAAGTTTCAGACGGCATGTTATGTCTCTGCAATTGAATGGCAGCAACACCCTCATGAAGAAGCTCCAGCTTCTATTTGCCTTCTTGGCCCACACACAGGTATGTTTATCTTCTGCGCAGTATTCTGTCTGTCCTCTGAAACGTTGCAGCGCTTGGCATTACTGGGTAGGGGTGTTAAATTAGACTGTTAAGCATATCTGCTGGTGATTATTTATCATGCTATATGCCCACCAGAGAGCAGCATATTCTCCAAGGAGTTTTTTGGAGGTTTCTCGGCCACCATGGTTTACAGCTGGATCCCAGCAAGACTGCTCAGAGTATTTGCGCTTTCTGCTGGACAGGTAAACTCCGAAAATGGCTATGGCATCCTTTCCTATAACTATAAGAAAGATGTATGTTTAAAGCCTTCTACACACTGCACAATTTTCGGCTGTCCCAGACGAAAGATTGGCATTGTGAAACAATCGTGGCGATTTCTGTGAGTGTGGCTCCTCAACGGTGGTCCTATGTCATACAGTGAGAGAGGTTCAAAGACGGCCGTTGTCACGGTCTTGCGACCAAAGATAGTCCGTCTGACCGTGTCAGAAATTCAGCATGATCATCGCACAGTGTGTTTGCTTCTACGACCCACGTTTACTGACCAGCCAATAAAAATGCGACATGAAATCAATGCGACACGGCGCTAAAACATAAAACTGCTTATCTCAAGCACACATAAAGACTACAACTGGCAAAATGTGATTCATCATACTCTTTTTGTTTAACACTAGCGCATGCTGATGACATTTTATTCTTCTATAGTAACATGCGTCGTAGCCTACAAGTCAATAGGTGTCATCATCGTACAGTCTGCATACATGTTGTACCCAAGTTTATCAGATCCATGTCGCACAGTGTGATTTGCAATAATCTGCTAAAAGAGTTGCTCTAGGCCGTTTTGCTGTGAGTGCTTAAAGGGGTAGTGGATTGCGATTTCACTTTTTTAACGTTAGTTAGTGTGTAATGTTGCTGTTTGAGCATAAACAATATCTGCAAAGTTACCAAGCTGAAAGTTCAATGCAAACGGAGATATCGTCTTTTAAAATTCTGGCAGTTTAATGCCTACAAAAACGGCTGGTAGGGACTACAGCAAGTTACTTCCCGGGTTCGTGACATGACATAAACCCAGATAAACCCCGCCCTCGGGAAAAAGCAGCAAAGGGGGCGAGGCCATGCTGCGCTGCTTTAAAGAAAAGAGAGAGAAAACTAGAGGTGCACGTAAAAATCTATTCATTTATGAATCGTGATTCTGTCTTCTAAAGATTCTAATGGATTCACAAGTTTCAAAATCAATGTTCTAAAGCAGTGGTTCTCAACCCTGTTCCTCGCGTCCCCCTGCTCTGCACACGCTCTGCCTCTCTCTCATTCAGCTCAGCTCCAACAATTAACTGTTCCAATTATACACTTATTTTCACATAGCTATGAGAAGCGTTGCCTTACTGTATTAAAGGGTTAGTTCACCCAAAAATGAAAATTAGCCCATAAATTACTCACCCTCAAGTCATCCTAGGTGTATATGACTTTCTTCTTTCAGACGAATCCAGTCAGAGTTATATTAAAAATTATTAAATGAAAATCTCTCTTTTTTTGTATAGTGTAATTTAATTATCATTGAAGCTCAAGAAGTATGAACTGAACAAGTAAACTACAAGTGAAACACGCATCCATTTGCACATTTGGACATTAAAAAGAAGACAGAGGAGAGCTGGTCAGCCTTAATGTCAGCTGTACAAATAAGTCCATAAAGTATGTGGAAAGTTTTCTTTAGCCCTGTTTCTCATTGGGAAGTAAGATGATTTCTTCATTTACAGGGGTTAGTATGATTTTATTGCCATCGAGAATCCAGAATGTCTGTTTTTCTCCTGCCACCCTCATACAAATTCACAGTCCGAATCCACATCTCCTGAGTTTACAAGGAGGGATTAATCCAAAAAAATTTATTTTTTCTACAATCAAGCACCATACGGTAACTGTTGTGCTTCACTGTACTGTGTATGCATTTTAAATATGGACATTTTTTATTATTGAATTGCTGGAAGCTGTTTATAAGAATAATATAATGTTATCGCTTCACTACAGAGAGTAGGAGCTGTTAAGAATTGAAAGTGAAAAAAGTGAACAAAATAATGTACTACTTCTGAATAAATAACTTTTGAAATCTGTTATTACTATGGCTGCAACAAGTTTGCAATACAATTTTTAATTGTATGCATTTATATATATTAGGGCTTACATGAGAATCATTTAACTAGTCAACCAAGTTGCTGGGTAAAATGTTGACCTTATGTAAATAAGAGGTTGTGTGTACTTTCCACATTTTCAAAATGACTTCCATCATTTTGAGAGATAAAATGCAAGACAGAAAACCATTCAGTTTTCCTATTAGATGGGATATTTAAATAAATAGGATATTGTATACCTATTAAATTAATATTTAATTTATTATTTGTCTAAGTAATAACATTTTGTTTACATGTGACTGACCACGTGACAAATGCATTTCTGGGTCCATAGGGTAAAATTGTCACCTGAAAGGACAAGTCCAAATAAGGCTGTACATTCCTTTTGCCATTTATTGTAATAATCCAATGAGATGTTTGAATGCACAAGGAGTCTGACAACAGCCAGTGCTTCACACAGAGATCTGATCACACCAGGGATTACATGAAGAAACAGAAAAAACTGAAACAGACTAAATCCAGAGGAACTGTGGCAACGTCTCCAAGACGCTTCAAGAAACCTACCTGCAAAGCTACAGTGCTGTGAAAAGTTTTAGGCACTTGTGCAAAAATGCTGTAAAGTGAGGATGCTTTCAAAAATAATGTCATAAATAGATTTGATCAATTAACTTCTATTAACTAAATCAAATCAACATTTGGTGTGGCCACCCTTTACATTTAAAACAGCTTTTGTCTTAGGTGCATTTGCGCATAGTTTTTCAGATAGATTTGCAGGTAGGTTTTTCAAAGCGACTTGGAGACGGTGCCACAGTTCTTCTGGATTTAGTCTGTCTCAGTTTTTTCTGTTTCTTCGTGTAATCCCTGGTGTGATCAGATCTCTGTGTGGAGCACTGACTGTTGTCAGACTCCTTCTGCATACAAAAGTCTTACTGGATTATTACAATTAATGGCAAAAAGAATGTTTGGAAATGTAAACATATATTTCCCACTGACACACTACAGCAAAAGATAACTGGCTTATAAAAAAAATAAAATAACTTGACTTAAAACCATTTTTTTGTTGGTGAAAATACTAGTGGCCTAAGATTTTTTGCGTAGTAGTGTATATAATTTTGTAATAATTAGTTATCTGCGAATAAATATGACATTTATCTGATTGAGTATTTTAATTGATTATAAGCCTAAAAACAATAAAATAATGTGTTTTCTTATTTACAACAGCAGGGGGAGTTAATGTATTTCGTGTATTTGTTATGTTCTGTCTTCCTATGTGATATGAAGGTTGCATGAAGAAGAGAAGACTCTCTCAGCCCTTCAGGTGACCAGCCCAAAACCTGAACCGGCAACCACTTCTGCTGAAACTTTTCAAGCTGCTGCAAGTCAGCCGGTCGCTGATATGCCATCACATCCATATCCTGTGGCAGCCAATGGAGATGGTCGCACTCTAGTAGAGCGTATGTTTGGTGGTCGACTCTCTACAGCCATCCGCTGCCTGCAGTGCCACAGCCTGTCAGAAAAAGAGGAGCCATTTACAGACCTCTCTCTTGCATTCTGCCCCTCGATGTCCAAGTGCCACGGTCCCACCGATGAGCACAAAAGCTCCTCCTCTGTGGGACCCTGCCAAGGGGCGGTGAATGGAGGCAGTGAATCCTCAGAGGGCTCAGTAAAAGAAGGTGCAGGAACCAGGATGGAGAGGCCGTTGGTGGAGCCCACACTGTCTGCACCAGATTTAGTTGACTACTTCCTGGCTCCAGAAATCCTAGAGAATGAGAACTGCTACTTCTGTGAACGCTGCGCCTCACTGCAGAGGGCGAAGAAGGTCATGCAGGTGGTGGTGGCACCGGAGTACCTCATTCTGACTCTGCTGCGCTTCTCGTATGATGCCACCTGCCACGTCCGCCGCAAGATCCTGGACAATGTAGGCATTCCGCTGCACATGAGCCTACCTTTACGCCAACACGGTATCTCCGCTTCAACATCCTCCTCAACTGCAGCTACATCTTCCTCATCTGACTCCCCCGACAGTGGTGAGAATCTAGCTAAGAAGCTCAAGCCTTCTCGAAAGGAGGATGGGATGGCGGTAAACAGAATAAATAGTGAGACAAATGACAGCGATTCGGAGATGCTGTCAGTGCCGTATGTTTTGAGTTCTGTTGTAGTGCATTCTGGGATGTCCTCAGAGAGCGGTCACTACTACTCGTATGGAAGGAATGTGAGTAGCACTGATGGTTATGTAGCTCATCCATGTCCTAAGACCCTGGAAAGCTCCAGCCTATCAGAGAGCTCGACCGACACACATGAGGAAATGGGATGCGCTGAGCACAAGTCCATGGACTGGTTCTTGTTTAATGACAGCCGAGTGTCTTTTACAAACTTTGAATCATTGCAGAATGTCACCAGTCGCTTCCCTAAGGACACAGCCTATGTCCTGATCTACAGGAAACAAGAGGTCAGTGGACAACCAAGCAATTCAGGGCCAGTTGTAAATGGCTCAAGACTGAGTGGAGAGCCACCCCTGCAGAAAGAGCTGATGGATGCCATTACCAAAGACAACAAACTCTTCCTACAGGTTAGAATGTTGTACTTTATGATGCTCTTATGCTCACAAAGACTGCATTTATTTGATCAAAATACAATTAATAAAGGTAATGTTGTGAAATACTGCTACAATAAAAAAACAGATTTTAATATGTTCAAAAATATAATTATATAATTCATTCCTGTGATGGCAAAACTGAATTTTTAGCACCCATTACTGCAGTCTTCAGTGTTACATGATCCTTTAGAAATAATTCTAATATGCTGATTTGCTGCTTAGGAAACATTACCAATTATTATCAGTGTTGAAAACATTTGTGCCACTTCATATTTTTGTGGAAACAATGAAACATTTTTTTCAGGATTCTTCTATGAAAAGAAATTTCAAATGAACGTCATTTATTTAAAATAGATTTTTTTTGTAACCATGTAAAGGTTTTTACTGTACATTTAATGCATTTTGCTGAATAAAAGCATTAATTTCTTTAAAAAAAAAAAAAAAAAAAAAAAGCTTTTGAACTGTAATATATAATCTGTAATAGGGCTGCACGATTAATCGCATGCGATATTTAACGCGCATCTTGTCAGAAAGCCGGTTCTGTAATCGGTAAACCACGTTCATATTCGCGCGATTTTTTGCGCTGCTCATCTGAACAACGGCTCTGTGTAGTTAATGCTGCTCAATGTGAAAGCACGCAGGTGATGGAGATTTACCGCTGATTACAGAACCGGCTTTACTGATAAGATGCGCGTTAAATATCGCATGCGATTAATCGTGCAGCCCTAATCTGTAATCTACATGCAAAAGTACATGCATTTCTCATACAAGACTTGCATACACATTTTCTAATGCTAATAAATGCTAATAAAAACTTAGTCATTTGGTGCCAAATACATGTAGGGGAAAACACATAGGACAGGAAATTATATTATAGAGAGAAAACCCTGCTGAAAACTCTCATGACATATATCTCTTAAAACATCTCTTACAAATGTAATTAAATACTTTTTACCTTAAAGGATATTAAAGTATTTTAAATCTTTGTTGAACATAATAATTAAGATACTCTTATTTTTCTAAGGTGTAATGAAAATGTTATTTATTGTTATTCTACATGACATTTTTAAAAGTTTTGTTAAAAATGGTTTTTCAAAATCATATGAAACCTTTTCCTTTATCTTGGATACTCTAATTAGTCAGTTGATTAGAGTTGAACCTGGAGCATAGATTTAACCCTTCGTTTCTTTTCCTTCCAGGAGCAGGAGCTGAATGCCAGAGCTCGGGCTCTTCAAGCAACCTCTGCTTCTTGCACATTCCGACCCAATGGTTCTGATGACAACGATCCCCCTGGCAGCTGTGGACCCTCAGGTGGGGGTGGAGGAGGGGGCTTCAATACCATCAGCAGACTCGTCTTCTAAGGAAGAGTCACAGACATACTCGGAGCACTGGACAGTCCCACTGACAACACCGGACTCCATTTGTTTTGCCCTAATTGCCCACAATGTGGATAAGTGTGCCACCTCAGAACAGATGTCTTAATTTTTCTGGTTTGTGTGCTTTTTCCCATTTACATTAACGTTCATTTACATTGACGTTCATTTACATTAACGTTCATTTACATTGACGTTCACTTGAAATTAATTGAAGCACTTCGAGTACTATAGGTCAGAAATGGGCATGCAATAAATTTGTACAGAATACAGTAATAATTACATTCTCATCCTGGAATCTTAATTGTTTCTGTTTCTAAACAGAAATCATTAGACAGAGAATGGTTTTAAAAATTCAAGCAAATATTTTTGGACCATACTATACAGTGAACTACTTGCATGAATGTTTTAATTTAAAGTTTTTCAGCTTCTGGTTTGAGGATTACAGTTATATCTGTTTTGTCAATTATTTAATTACAATTAAGTTATTTTATTAATTCAGGGAATACTTTTTTGACTTAACTTTAAAAAATGTTTTTAATTTTTTTTTTTTAGAATTTTATGTGCCTTTCAATACTTCAGATTTTACAAAATTATTGGACTAGCTACACAATAAACACCTTGCTCTTGCTGTACAGCGTTAATATGTAATGATTATGTTTTTGCTCTATAGTGAAGACTCGTCATCACTTAACATGGTCTAATTTTATTATTTAAAATGCATGTTACAATTGATCACTGTCAGATTCTGTGTCATTTACTAGTTAAAAGATCTGAGAAGACTGTGCATATTTTATTTCAAGGTTAGAGATGTAATTTCAGTATGAAAGCTCAGTGTTATATCAAAAAAAGCTGAAATTTCAGTTTTCAGTGTTCAGTTAAAATAAGACACACAACATTTGATTTCAAGACAAGTACGTTGATACATTTTCATTACTTAAAAAAAAAAAAAAAAAAAAAAAAACACTTAAAACTCTCGCCAGTATATTGACTTTGTTCGCAAACAATATCCACCAGTGTTTATTGAAATCATTAATATTAAAAAACGTTTTATTTCAGCTCATTTTATTTCTATTTCTCACTTTTGTTTAGTTTAAGTAAAACCTAAAAACTATATAGACATTTAAATAATGACAAAAAACGTCAAAATGACTACAACTTTAAAATTAAAATGAAAACAAAATATAAACAAACTCTAATAATATATACATTAAAATAACAATGGGTTATACTGAACTTCAAAGCAACAATTATAACAAGTGTTATTCCTGTGAATATTCTATGGCTCATGACATGTTCTAAGACTGAGGTCTGTTTTGACTATCAGAGCATGAGACCTTTGTTAGTCACCTTGTGGCTATAAATCCATAAGTCCACCCCCAACATCCCAGTGTCCTCAGTTTGAACCACTGTGCTCCATGTCCTTTGGTGAACCCTGACACAATGCTCGGCTTTTGAGCACACAGTCCTGTTCAAATCAGTACGGCATCATTGTCCTGGTGCATTAGCTTAGAATAGACCCTTAAGGCTGTGGTGAAGCACTCCTTAGATGCACATTTCTTAACTGAAGAACTAATACATGTAGCAAAGACGGCATTGTGGTTTTCAAATGTGGGCACCTTTAGTTCTTCATTCCCTCCAGAGCCATTAGCTTTATATCATGTTGGGCGCTGCAGCGTTGCACCACTCACACAGTCTGTAGAACCATTTGGTAAAATCAATGACTCTCAATTATTCAACAACTGAGATCTACACATGTCTTTGCTACAGTTTAGGCCACTCCCACTGACAATTTATTCTATGACATGGAAATTGTTATCATATTGTAATAGTTCTGTAATAACCTTTTAAATAGCCACTTATATCGTCTTTAGGTTTTTAGATCAATAATCGAAGAAAACAAACAAGGTGTTGATTGTAAATTATGGCATAGACAAAAATACTTAATATAAATTATAGGCTACATCAGATATCACATATTTGCATATTGTCATTATAAAGTCTCATAAAGTTTTCGTTTTTGGCTTCATTCTTGTTTGATTTATAACATTTACCATTTGATGAGTAATTTTAACAACAGACTTTTGTAATTAAATCTGATGAGACCATTTCTCTGGAAAAATAAATAATAAATAATATAAGTAAATACATAAATGCATGTAGTCTTCAACACATAACTGCAGGCTTTTTTTCTATTTAAGGTATTTTTCTGCACTATAGCTTGACAATAGCACTTGTCTAATAATATTTTCATTTATTTTAGGACCTCAATCATTAAAAAAATTCACTGTGAACTGAAGTGAATAAATCCAATGCTTTCTGACTAAGTACACTCCACCATCTTTTTGTCTTCTCTCTCTTTCTTTCTGATTTACATTTTACATCTTTAGAGTTATAATTAGTTATACTAGCCTACTGAATTTTCCATACTCGAAATTATAATAATTAACTATCACAAAAAAGCTACGTTAAAATTAGTAGTTTCAAGAATAAACAAATCCTTCCTTAAATTGTAAAAGTGATACCTAATTTAATAATTGTATATACTGCCCTAAGTGTACTGGAAGTGCACCTCCATATTGCAAAATTTTCATTTTAATCCACAACCTGAAATCACATGATGAAAGATTATAGGATAATAAACTGACTAAATCAATCCTTTGCAATGAGCTGCAAATTAGGCTACATTGAGTAGGCACAAAGTTTCAGAGATGACTGGGTAAGGCGTTTAGCATTCCGAAGATACCAATCCCACAAACATGAAAGTTCTGTACTCAAACTGTTCACTTTTCATCATTATATTGCTTATTATCGGTGATATAAACTTTAATACCTTGTACTATGCTTTTTAGTCGTTTATCTTTAAACACTGTGCATTTCTGCCATTTTTTTTTCATTAGGCCTATTTATAAAAATATATCCTATGTGTAAAATAAATTCATGTATTAAAAAAAAATAATAAAAAAAATAAACTGGCAATAAAAATAAGTGGCATAACCGCAGGCTACTTTGACAGTTCAGGGGTCTCATTTATAAAATTCTCCGTAGATTTCATCCTAAAAGTGTAGGTAGGCACAAAAGCTAGATTTTGCGTACGCACAAACGTTTTCAGATTTATTAAACCATGCATACGCCAGAACCTCCGCAAAAACCCCTTTATAAATCCCAGTCAGGGGAAGTTTGTGCGTACGTGCATCTCCACCCCGACTCCTCCCCAAAATCACCATATATGGCGCTTTCAACGCCTAGTTTTACTATGCATAACCTCATCTGCATATAATTTCTATGCATATTCCCATCCACGTGACACCATGTTTAACACCGTCAAAGGTACAAGACATTAAGGTGAGATACGGACTATAAATGCCATTTGTGCTATGCACATTAATTTGTATTGCTAAAAATCATCCAGTGTCCTTGTTATGTTTTAGAATAAATATATCAAAATATCCATAAAAACTATTTAAAATAGTTCTCAGAAAAATAATTTAGAATAGAGTTGATCTCATTCATTTCCACTGGCCCAATATTCAGTTGTTTAAAAAAATTCAAATTAAATTAAATTATTGCAGTTTTGCTGACAAGGTGAACATCTTTTAAGATATGCTTAGTGGAAAAATATAGGCCTTTATTTATTGCAGTGTAAATACAATTATCTGCGCGTCATTGACAAAGTATTTTAAAAAGGAAACGTGCAAATCTTACCGTTTTCTTCAAGTTGTATACATCCTTCAAATACAGTGGTATTTTTCATAATGTTGTGGAGATGCCTTCACACGACATCAACACTTCCGTGCAGCTGCGGTTGTACAGTAAGCTATTATCATTGGACCTATTCAAACTGGACAATAGACCGTTCCACCGAATCCAGCAGTGTCCGCCATAATATCGAAGTAAGTGCGCATCATTGACGCTCTCGCTAAAAATATTTTCTCATAACATGAGATGTGCAGTTTAGTTTAAGGATAAATGATTGTGCACCTACAGCACTCCTCGCTGTCATTAAAACATAACATACCACAAGAAAAGTAATCAAGCGCATCCACTACAAATAGGCTATGTCTGAATTCATACCATTTTGGTTTAACTTCTGCGTAATGACTTTATGTAATTTCAGTGCTTATCTCCATTAATGAGAGTGGAATATTTCATGTAAATGTATATGATGAAATGAAAACAGTTTAAAATCGTTGTTTCGCCTACTTCATTACTTTTCTCTCTCCAGGAAGAAAAGGTCTGTACGCATGGGTCAGAGTTTGCGTGCAGATGCGCACATTTTCCCGTCAAGTTAATTTTTTTATAAATCCCACCTTTTGCGCAGGAAGTGGCGTACGCTTCTTTCAGGGCAGGTTTTGTGCGTACGCAACGGTTATAAATGAGGCCCCAGATAAGTGCAGTCTTTATCGAGACGTTCGCTTGTATATTGCTACTGGAAGTCTCTCTATGACTCTTTTCTGCGATTCGGTTCTTTCGAACAGCTCATTTGAAGAGTCGGTTCAAAAACTAATTCTGTGATTCTTTTACGTGCTGACGTAATTACGTCATCGTGTGTTGAATATTACATGCCCTAGATGTTTAAAGGGGTGGTTGACTGGTTTTTTATAGGCTTGATTGTGTTTATAGGGTGCAGTCTAACATGTGTTAATAAAGCCAAATGTAGACACACATTTCTGTTTATTACTTTATTTTTTTAGAATGGGCATATTAATGACAGTGTTTATTGGACTGTTCAGTTCATGTTTATTGCAGCATGATTCAGCTCATAAAAATCTAAACATAACAAATACTTTAAAAATCAATTAGTGCCTAAATATTTGCAATCACATTAAATAATACAAATGTGTTTAAATTTCTTGAATAAAAAGGTTGGCAGATAAAATAATATTAAAGAAAAAAAATATTTAAAATGACTTATAATTATAGTCATATACACTGACCGATTATGATTATTATTATTATTATTATTTTATTTTTACAAATCCTTCAAAGTTGGTTTGCGAACCGGTTCAGTCGAATCATTAAAAAGATCAGACTCAAAAAAAAAATTAAAAAAATAAATCACTACTTTATTATAGCAGTCTTAATCCGAATTTAAGCCATTTTATTTGGGGCTTGGGTAAGAGATCTGTTTAACACCGATAGGAGCCACCGTCCCAGTGTTTTCCCTCTGACAGAGCAACACTCCAAGACTACATTTCCCATGATGTAATGTTCTTTATTCTCCGTCTTGACCGACTTTTCCCTGCCTCCGTAGGCCAGCAGAGGCTGAGTTTAGGGAAAGTATCGACGTTTATGCTTGTCAATCAGCAAGGAGCCGTGGGGAGTGAAACTGGAGGGAAGGTCGACGATCGGGACGGATTTCTAGTTCAAAAAGCACTTCAGTGCCAATGCGACCATAATGTTTTGGAAAAATAAGGAAAAACTATATATTTTCAAGGAAACGGTTTTGGTTTACTTTGAAATAAAGTAAAAATCAAAGCTTTCACTACGCCGAATTTGGCGAGTATTACTCGCTGCCTCGTTGCATTTCAGCTTGGGGGGAAAAAACGAAACAGCGGATGATTTACTCCGACAAAGTGTGTAAACTAAAAGGGGGCTCAACTACAGACGGATATTGCTGTGTTTAGACATATTGTGTTTGATATATCAGAGGAGAGGACTTCATCCAGAAGAGTTTCTAAGAGCCGAGTCGCTCTGCTGGAAACCAGGAGTGACGGTATTCATGTTGTTTTAATACACGCACTGAAGACACTTAGGCGCTACTTCCACCTCATGTTTTGGGACTTTGGTTTCATATGTTGCAGGTTGAAACACGAAACCTAAAGCGCGTATTTTCCTGGAAGGTTAGAAGAAAATGAGCGGAGGAGAAGTGGTGTGTAGGGGGTGGCTCAGAAAGTCTCCACCTGAAAAAAAGTTACGGCGTTATGTAAGTAACGTTTACATCTTATTCAAATGCACTGGCAGTGTTGTAACCGCAGGACTGTTGGGAGCAAGATTCATGCAAATGTATAGTGCACTTTCCAACAACCGCAGGTCAATCACTGCTCGCGATCTTTCGGTTAAGGCTTTTTCGTTCTGAAATGCTGACGATTCAGGAATAGTTTGAAAACGGGATCAGTTCCTCAAAAATATGCGAGTGTGGACGCTGTCTTTGTGTTCATAGCACTGAAATTGTTGTGAAATTCGCATGTGCAAAATCCTTATTTGTGGCGTCTTGGTCGGTTCTGTAGGACACACCTACCAGTGTTAAGAGAGAACTTTTTTGTTTGTTTATTAAAGGTACACGGAGTATTTTTTAAACATTCACTCGCAAACTAAGAGCGTTTTTTTTTTTGAGAAATAACACTGAATAATGCACACTATGAGACTCTCACATGCCAGTTTTCTAGAAAAGGCTGTTTTCTTCTACATGGAGTGGGTCGCTCCCTCATGGGCGGCGCCATGTTGACATCACATGACATAATTGACCTAGGTAAGAATAGTAAAATAGTAAAAAGTCATGTTTACTTTATGTATAGCACTTTTAGCTTGTCGTTAGGGTGGAAACATAAAAGTAGGCCTACATATAAATAGTTACAAGCGCAAACAGAACACAGGACGGTCACAGCCATTGGCAGGCAGGTTGCAGACTGAAAACTTGTGGTAGTCTGGTCAGGGAGGTGCAGCAGCTAGCCACCAATAACATGCAAAACATCTTTGGAATTGAATCTAAGAATGTCCATAAGTGGATGGAGTATGAGATGGGGAAACATAGACAAAAGGGAACACAACAAAGTATAAAAAAAACAGAACAAACTTCATGCATCCATGACTATAGGAATCGGTGTAAGTCCAAATGGTCTGGTACAGTTGGGAACGATAAGAGCCAGCTATGCATAAACCTTAGTGATGCTTATTGTTTTAATGGAATGTGGCTTGACCTGCAGACACCACGATCATACATCTAAATCTAAACATGTTTATGTTCTGTTTACTCATGCAGAAGTTGTTAGCAAGCAACATTCTTTTATGCAAGAGACTGTGACAATAATGTGTGCACACGATTTGTTTACAGTAGGCATGGCTCTTTTTGAAGTTTTGACAACTTTTTAAGTGGTTCAAGCCAAAAGCTATTGTTTATATGCATCAAGGTTGCAGAAAACAGTGCTGGTACAGGTAGATGAAACTAACCATAGATTCAATTTAGATTCAATTTAATTGTGTCAATTGCACTGCTTGCACCAATGATCATTACATGGACAGCTGGCTCCTCGATCTGTGCATTTTTTAGATGTTTTCCTTAGTTTTGTATTAAATATATTGTCACGTTACATTTTCATAGAATTCAAGGTTTTTAGAATTTTTCACCAAATCTTACGAAACGCCTTTGTTTGCTGCTACTTTAGTTGCTAAGACAACTGAACACTTAACTTTCCATTCTGTCTGCACTGGATGACTCAGTGCATTTAGTCATTCACACATTGTATGTGTACCATGGGGTCTTCCCTTCCTCTTAGTGGTAATATATACCAATAATCTGTAATGAAATCACTCACTTATAGCTCTGCCTGCTATCGAGCCCTAACCAAACATGTTAGAAATCTCCTTCAGGCTCATGTGATGCTTTTTTTTTTATTGGATTCCTTTAATCTGGTGAGGCTCTGCTAGAAGCATTGCTATTTAATTTATGTTTTATCTCATTGTACAATCAGCAACACGGTTTAGACTCAAACAGCCAAGTATTTTGCAAAAGTGGGATCTTTGGCATATTTTGCCATTGCGATTTCACATGCTTTGAGCTTCCAGAGTAAACGGTAGTCTGTTGAATGTGATGAACAATATTTCATGCCTCCAAATCTAATTAAAATGATTTCTGAGCTCATCCACACAATGCTATAATAAGATTAGATCCAAGCAAGAACAAGTGCTGTGTTGTAACACAGAATGTTCTCACAAGTAAGTTGTAGATTTGCTTTTGCTTGAGACATATTTAAGCAAAGTGATTGTGGACAAAAGCCTTTGTAGTTGTTTAGTTGGTTTTTAGAGTGAGATGAGAAACTTAATTCCTTTTATCCCTCCTTTCTTGTTGCAGTAAGTTTACAGTCTAGGTTTACAGTAGTTTTAAAGTGCCGTCCTCAACATTGGTCTTCATTCTCAGCCTGTTTTCGGGTGCATGAAGGTGGAGTGGTCTCAATGTATCACATGTGGCTGATTAGGACCAGACTGTTTTTATTGGAGCCGAGTGGCTGCTATACTCCTCCTCAAAAGGAGCCCCATGCCAGGTGTACAGGCCTATTAGTGATTCTATATCTGTTTTTGACCAGCTGTACATTGATCAACATGAGCTCTAATTTTAGATACATTTTGCAATTTCTTATGCTGTGACTGCACAGAGAAACTATAATCCTGTAACAATTTTTATCTGCTTTAGACGTCCAGTGATGACTTTATGTCATTCGTAGACATCCTCCAAAAATGTGCACTACCATTCAAAAGTTTGAGATTGGTAAGGTTTTTTTTTTTTTTTTATGAAATTGAGGAAGAAATGTTTCTTGAGCACCAAATCAGAATTAGAATGAGCATGTGACACTAATGAGAGTTCCGCTTTGTGTCACAGAAATAAATTACAGTTTAAAATATATCACAATAGAAAACTTTTTTTTTTTTTGTAATATTATTTCACAATATTCATTTTATAACTGTATTTTTATCACATAAATGCAGCCTTGGCAGGCATAAGAGACTACTTTAAAAACATTAAAAAGATCTTGTTGTCCCCAAACGTTTGAACAGTATAGTGTTTGTCATTCAAATTCCATTGTTTATTAACCCTCATTCGGTGTCTTTTTGTGTCTATATTAAAGCGATCTCTTCTTGGGTCTTTAAAGGGGTCATAGGATGCTACATGCACTTTTACAAGTTGTTTGAACTGAAATGTGTGTTGGCAGTGTGTGTATACAACCACCCTATAATGTAGTGTTGTCAAAAGACCCGGTATTTCGGTACCAAGTCGGTACTAAAAAAATGAAAACGTTACGGTACCAGGTTTTT